TCTCTATGGACTAGGTGAATTATTTGCATGGCTGCGTTGAGTATGTGTGCAAACCATACAGAAAACATTCCTATTGCCAAAATAGTATTTTGTTGGTGCTTTTAACCAAACATTGGGTATTTAAAAGATAAATATTTTAAAATGCACAGTATTTATGATCGATAAATAGATAAAAACAGTACTAGTACTGTTAAGGTAATCCTATGCATTTACAGTGCACAGTATAGAACTTGTGGTTTAACCATGATATGTGCTCTCTACTCCCTCCGATACTTTTTTTTTTTTAATGACTCTGAAATGGGCTGTGCACTAGTATCAGCATAATATTTCAGACGTCTGAGCAGAGTTTACAGCCAACAGACTTACCTTCCTGTGTGTGGTGGCATGTGAACCCTGAACTGCCCTACCTTTTCTTCCCGGCATTTCACACTGGTTAATTTGATGGGAGTTGTTCATTTCCTGTTACACTGTTTACTGGATTTCACAATACAGACTGCTGTCTCCTTGCTATCTTAGTTTTTAATTTCCCAAGATGAATCTCATTCTGTTATTTTTTTCTAACCCTGTTTCTGTCCAGAGGTCCTTTATTTTTCTCTTTCCTGTTTTCCATAAAATTTCAACACAAGCATAGCCTGTATGTTTCATGAAAATACTTTTGTCTTCTCTTTGTAAGTCCTCATGGAAAAAGTAAAATTGAATATTTTTTTCTAAGACAATCAATCTAATGTGATGCTGGGATTCATCTTTTTATTTCTGCTTCCCTGTTCCTGCCTGTCCCCTCCCCAGAAAAAACCCAAACAAACAAACAAAAAAAGGTTCTGAAAGAAGCACGATTATCTTAGCACTGGTAAGCACACTGTCTTTTTTGCATCAGGAATAAAACCTCAGATTAATTACCATTATTCCTTATCAGCCCGTCTCAGTTGTGTATTCTTGAAGCTGTCAAAAACCTCAGCAAAACAAGTTACTCCCTTGCATATTTTTTTTTTTTGCATCATTATTTATTCCTTTGTATCATTAATGAAATACAGGGCATCTATTTTTCTGGCTTGGCCGGAGTCACTGAGGAGAAGGAGGTGCAGTGTTTTCCATATGGAGTTACCTCTGTTATTGTGAAAGACCAGTTGTCAGGTTCTCCTCGGGTCTTGGAAGTAAGTGAAAGGCCAGAGCTATTTGTGGCACACTGCCCTGGGTTTGCATGGCGAGGATTTGGGGAGTTGGGGTGGCTTCTGTCAGAAGCTGCTGGAAGCTTCTCCTGTGTCTGAATGAGCCAGTGCCAGCCGGCTCCAAGTCAGAGCACTGGCCAAGGCCGAGCCCCTCAGCGATGGCAGTAGTGCCTGGGTCATAACCTTTAAGAGGGGGAAAAAGTTACTGCACAGTAGCAACTGCACCCGGAAGAGGGTGAGAATATGTGAAAGAAACAACTCCGCAGATGCCAAGGGCAGTACAGAAGGAGGGGGAGGAGATGCTCCAGGTGCCAGGGCAGAGGTTCCCCTGCAGCCTGTGGTGAAGACCATGGTGAGGCAGCTGTGCCTGCACCCATGGAAGTCTATGGGGAGCAGTTCTCCACCTGCAGCCTGGGGAGGACCCCACTCCAGAGCAGGGGGATGCCCCGAAGGAGGCTGTGACCCCATGGGAAACCCATGCTGGAGCAGTTCATGAAGAGCTACAGTCTGTGGGAAGGACTCATTGGAGAAGTTCATGGAGGACTGTCTGCTGTGGGAGGGACCCCACACTGGAGCAAGGGAAGAGCGTGAGGAGTCCTGCCCCTGAGGAGGAAGGAGCGGCAGAGACAACGGGTGATGAACTGACCACAACCCCCATCCCCCGTCCCTCTCTGCACTGGAGGGGAGAAGGTAGAGAAAATCAGGAGTAAAGTTAAGCCTAAGGAGAAGGGAGGGGTGGGGGGGGAAGTGTCTTTAAGATTTGATTTTATTTCTCATTATCTTACTCTGATTTGATTAGTAATAAATCAATTTTTCCCAAGTTGAGTCTGTTCTGCTGTGACAGTAACTGGTGAATGATCTGTCCCTGTTCTTGACCCACAAGTGTTTTGTTATATCTTCTCTCCCCTGTCCAGCTGAGGAGGGGAGTGATAAAGTGGCTTTAGGGGGCACCTGACATCCGGCCAGGGTCAACCCACCACACACACCTCCCCTCTCCTGCCTGCTGACCAGAACACACTGAGCTTGAGTTATTCCCACGGGGAAACGTTCCTGGTAAGTCTTACTCCACAGACCATGGCAGGTGTTCTGTGGGAAAGTCCTAGATGGTGCAGGCAGGAGTATGTGAACAATTACAGTGTTGGCAATGATGGGGAAATGAATTAGGTTTTTTTTCCTCAGTGAAGGTTTATTTGCTGATGTGGTTGTATCCCATGATTTTTCTCTACCATGGACTTTTTGGTCTTGGCCAACAGCATTCTTTGACAACAGCAACTTGTCGATTTTGGCAATAGAGGGTCTGTGTTCCCTGCTTTAAAACTCTTTGAGTTTGCTTGTCTCAAGAGTATCCCTGCACCTGGCTATTGCAGACTGACTGACTGGAGGAAATGCCCCTCAGTTTCTGGTCCCTGGCCAAAGCTGTCTGTACTATCCAGTAGAGAACCCAGACCTGTCAGAGCAGAAACCCAGTGCTCTAAGTGGTTGCTTGGTGTGTCCAGCTGCCTGCAGCTGCGGAGCCTTTCCAGTGTGGTCAGGTGTGGCTGTCAGGAAGGTTGAGAGCAAAGGTGACTACAAGCTCCTTGGAGAAGCCCTACTTGGTGGTAAGGGAGTCACATGGGTGGAGAGGAGTCAGCACAGTGTTGGAAGCTTTGTGAAGCTACTATCACCTTGTGTTTGCAAAGCTACTCCTGGAGCTTCTGCATCACTTCAGCCAGCAGTGCACATCTGGTAAGTCAGTCTTTTGACTCTTTGCTATGTAAAAAATTTGCCATGGGTGTTAAAGAATCAAGGTTGTCCAAACTTCCTTGGCTTGGAGTGTTTTGTAAACAGGAGATTCACCGAGCAGCTGAGGGTTTCTAGCCTAAAGGAATATAGTTCCTTCTGTATTTGTCTTGTGTTTGGTTTCTCAGGTGTCTAACAGGGCATCAACACTTCATTTTGTCCCTGTAACAGTGTGTGTGGCATCTCTGTGCCATTGAATTAACTGGTGTGTAAGGCTTAGACTTATGCTAGAGTCTTTCTGCAAGTGGGTAGATGGCAGGGTCTCTTCTCTGTGAAGTTGCCTACTGTCTTCAGCCAACAGGATCGGGACTTACTAGGGGAAGGATGGATAAATAGGAACACATACACATTCTACAGATACAATTTTCTTAGGAACTCCACCTCAAACAGATACTGGTGCAACTTAAAATAAAGCTGAGTCTGCCACTGCATTCAGTGAGGTGCTGAAGGCTGAGGCCATCCTGGGCAGAATACAGGGTTGTGTTCCAGGGAAGTGTTAAACAGGGCAGTAACTTGTCATAGTGACAGAACTGAGTGAAATTGAAAGCAAAGGGCATTTGCTTGCTTCCAATTTTGCCAGCATGATCCTTACCTGTTTCTCATATGTACACTCCTGTGCTATATGGCTTTTGGTTGGTTTTGGATAGGAAAGAGCTATCAATTTGTGATTAAACTCCAGGGCACCAGTTCATTGCCAAGACTTGATTTTACTCACTCTGATCATTCCAGTTGCTGGCACCACAGCCACACAGTCCCTCTGACCTGTAATCTCCAGTTGCTGGCACTTAGACCTCAGGCACACAAGTGCACACGGAATAGAGAGTCCCTCACCCAGGAATATGCTTAGAAATGGAGTTTAATAAGAAGACAGGACAGATCAGGTGCAGGGCATGGCCAGACAAGCATATGGACCAGCCACTCATGTTTGTTCCTCCTCAAACTACCTTATTTTCTTTTTCTTTAGTTTCTTTCCTAAGCATCCTAACAAGTCTTAGACAATCACCAAATGCTCTTCCTAGTATCACATGCCCCATACCCTTAGGAAGTAACTCACCCATGACTCGGACAGCATCTGAACTTCAGGAAACACTGTGAGGGTGACTGTTCACTCACTCAATTTGCTCAGAGAGATTGTGGAGTCTCCATCCTTGCAGACATTCAGAAGCTGTCTGACTGTGGTCTTGGGCTGCCAGCTAGAGGTGGCCCTGCTTGGCTGGACAAGATGACCTCCAGAGGTGCCTTCCAACTTCAGCCTTTGTGACTCTCTGCTTGTCAGGTGAATGGTCACACTGCTTAGGACCAATGCACAGGTCTTGGGAAGACCTGTGAGGATGAAGAAATGGAAGTGAATAGCAAGAAGATCCACAGATCCATCTATCCTGCCATTTATTTCTTGAGAAAGGATGTATTTATGTATTTTTGTCTTTTTTTTTTTTTTTTTAATTTCTCCCCCCCCTCCCTCTGCTTTCATTTCCATCAGCAATTAACATAGTGGAGGGATCTTGGCATACATGACTGATCTGTTTTTCAGTAGTCTTGATCCTTCTCTTTTCATATGAATTGAGGTCAAAGTTTGATGGTTTTCACGGGGTGGGCGGGGGGGGG